AGGCCTCTCTCCCAGTTGTTCTCCATGAGCCCCCTGTCCTTAGCTTCTCTTGAAGAACAGAGCTATGGAGGCCACACACTCCCTTGAACCCTCTGTTTCTCTCAGCTGTGGAGGAGGATTGTTTCCCATCGCCAGCACTGAAGTACCATCCAAATGCCAGTCTCTCTAAGTGGAATGGAAGGGATCTTGTTCTTTGCATCAGCCAACAACAAGTCTTGGGTTAGTCCTGCTCCATGGATAGAAGAGGTTCTCCTTTCAAAGACATGGAGAGTGAAGAAACAGAAACTAGTAGGGTTGGTATTTCCTGTAACAGCTGAGAAACTGCCTAGACAAGGGGCAGCGTTCACCCAAGTGCTTGAAGTGCAACTCATAATCCTTTTTAGTGTGCAAGAGGGGAAAAGGGCTTATGTGAACACATTGGAACATCCTACAGATTCCTGCATAAGACAATGGAATAAATGGGCACAACTTGCCTATAAAAGATAAGATCCAGAACCTGAGAAGATATTTCAACAACTTGCGTTATTAACTATATTACGATAGTCTGCCTGGTGCGTGTCAGAACAATTGTTTGTTTTAATGAACAGAAATCTGTGTTTCAAGATCTGAATTATTAAGTAGATTCTGTTCAAAAAAATTTTTTCTCCAGTTTACTGACATATTTAAATCTGCATTGTAATTATGTAACCTTTTTAAAAACCTAAATGAGTTTTTTTTTTAATTTTGTGACAAATCCTCTGGAACTAATGGCTAAGATACTGCAGTGTTTTGGTATTAATCAGCGTTACTGCTGTATCATCCATCTGACTAGTAGTTACTGATAGGGGTTTTTTTGTTCCATCCCTTTTTCTATGCACTCTTTAAAGCCACCTAAACTAGTGACCCTTGCCATATTTTTCTCTGTGTCCCACCAATCTGGTATTATAAAAGATGGATTTTTTAAAAAGCACACTTTTTCCTTATCTGTACCCATACCTAATTTTACAAACCTTTGTCACGTCTCATTCTTCATTGCCTTTTTTTTCTAAAATGAAAAGCCTCAATTGCTGTGTGATTTCTTGATAAGAAATGTGCCCCAGACCCCAGATAATTTAGATTACTCAACCCTTACTCACTCTCCAATGATAGAGTTTGGAAGCCAGACCCAAGATAACACAGGAGGCTTTGGAGTGAGACACAAGAAAATGAATCACACAAGACAGGGGCAAGAGATATCAGGAAAAAAGGCCGGCAGGTGGGGAGAGAGGAGATAGAGGGCTGTGGAGAAAAAGGCAATGGTGATCAAATGTCACAAGGACTCAAAACAGGAGAGGTTGTATGATGTTGGCAGGAAGAAGCAAGAGAAGGAAACAGTTGGCACTTGTGGCAGGAAGAAGGATGTGGCCAAGGAGGAAAGGAATTGAAGTGATGACTTGGAACAAAGTTTGCTATAGAAGCTAGCATTGCAAAGTCATACAGAAAATCTCTCTCTCTCTTGCTCTTTCAATATATTATTATATCAGTCTATGTGGGTGGATTAGAGCTGTATTGTTCCCTATGGGAAATCTGCATTCTTTTTGGTATGCTAACAGCTTAACCCCATATATATATATTAAGAATTCCATGGTACCTTAAATACTAATAAACGCAGTCCTATGCCACTTAGATGCGAGTAAGCCCAATGGAACCCAACTGATTTACTTATGTGTCTCTGTGTGTGTGTGTGTGTATATATATATATATATATATATATATATATATATATATATATATATATATATATATATATATGAGAGAGAGAGAGAGAGAGAGAGAAGTAAATCAGTTGGGTTCCATTGGGCTTACTCACATCTAAGTGGCATAGGACTGCATTTATTAGTATTTAAGGTACCATGGAATTCTTAATTGTTTTTGCTTTAAGTTTCACAATAGACAGTAGAAATTATCAGTAATTGTAATGAAGTCTAGCAACAGAAGAATAGTTGTTCAAGAAACCTTGGCAACCAGGGAGAAAAAACAAGTCCACGTTATGATTAATGCTTTGCCATTGCAAAGCACATTTTCTCCCCGTGCTTCAGCACATTTTTCCCCCAGAGAGTGATATTATTACTTTTTGTGTTCTAAATGAGGAGGCAAAGATTAAAGGACCCACCCAAGGCTCTACTACTGAGTCAGTGTGAGAGATGAAGGCTCAATCTGCATCCCTGTATTACTTGGCGTGGCTTTTAAATTGCATTGTTTGCAGTGCCTTCATCTGGCTTTGCCTGCTCCTTCTTACCCTCTCATATTGTTAGTGCATCTCCTATTTCTGCATGTGATGTCCTAGGTTTCAGGTCAGTGATTTCTTGGAGTTGCAGAAATTGCATACGGTAGCCTGCCGCCTTCTTTCTCTGAAACTGTCTAGGGCTCTATAGAAACAAGTACCCTAAAAACTCAATGATGAACTGCAGGGGTAGAGAGTATGTGGTCCTCCATATATTATTAGAGTGCAACTCCCATCAGCCCTACCTAGTATAGACAATGATGAAGGACCATGGTAATTTTGGGCCAACAATTCTGGACAGATATATTCCCTGCCCATTGCACTTTATTGCATTGTAATATGATAATTAATTCATTGCAGTGCTTGGGAATGGCACCTGTGTCAGATCTCTGCTCTTCTCATCTGATACAAGACTGTTGTGTCAACTAAATTTTTATCCTACAGGTTCAAGGCAGTTTACCATATTTTTAAACATGGGTAATCAAGCTGCAGCAAGCGTGACACAAATGAAATGATATAATGGAATAAAAAAAGAATAAAAATGTTTATGGATGCCTGAGAGAGGAACAGGCAGGATTGTAGCTTGATGTGATATAGAGAGATACCACATCTTGGGGGGGGGGGGGATCACTTTTGTGGACTTCAGATCCCAGAATCTCCCAGCCAGTGCCTCCTGCCTGTCTCCTAGTGTTGCAGTCCATACACCAACTAGAAGCAAAGTGATCTAGAATTTGACCTTTAGGTGAATTCCTGCTTTAAAGGAGCTCTCTCTTGGACCTAAAACAGAAAAGGGGGGAGATCAAATTAAAATAAAATACTACAAATTAAAATAAAATACTACAATATCTGGAGGATCAGAGCATGGTTTGCTCGTGCATCCCTCCAAGGTCTGTGGGGCAGGGACGGAGGGACAAAGTGGCTCTCCAAACCCTGGCGGTTGCCTGCTCATGACTTAAAAAAAACTTCCCTGGGTAAAGGAACAGAGGCAGGTGGAGCCTGACATGCAGGGAACTGCCTAAGAATATGTCCTTGTCATTGTTACCAGAGTGGTTTTGGCCATCTCCAGCGCAGCAGTCCCAGCCACCCCATCTTGAGCATGCTTTGTGAGGAAGCTTCTCCTCCTGAAAGACCCACCTATGGAGCAAAGGCCAAGCCTAGTGATGCACTTTGTGCTATGGATGCTCCTCCATATCACAGTGGAGTGGGTGAGCGAGACTTTGGGTAGCTGGAAGCTATGGTCAGAATGACTATGTATCTTTTGAAATACAGGATAAAGCTCTCCAAGGACTCATCATCCTAAGGCCCAAAGTGCTGCACAGGGACTGTCAAGGACAGAAATGACCCCCTTGCATACTTAGGACTTGACTGGTATTCTGCTTGCCTCAAAGGCTCTGGGTCAACTCAGCCTAGCATCCTTCCAAGGTTGCTAAAATGAGTACCCAGCTTGTTTTAGGCAATTGGCTTACATACATTGTAAACCGCTAAGCAAGTGCTTAAGTGCACTGATATGAGGTATAGAAATGTACTTGCTAATGTTGTTCCTACTAATATTTTAAAAGCTAATACTGTAACAATGTACAGTGGGCTCTTGGTATCTGCTGGGTTTGGTCCTAGGATGCCCAACAGATACCAAAATCTGTGGATGCTCAAATCCCATTATATATATTATAATAATATAATAATAATAATATTTATTTGATACCTCGCCCCTCTGAGCACAATC